GGGGGAAGCAATATAATTTGTAGTTTGCAAGAGCCAGATTTTGTTCTGAACCAGATGGTGAGCAATCTGGAAATTCTCCGCAAGTACACACCTGCAGCTTTTGGAAGGTCTTGACCCACACCTTCCCCATGCTCGTAACAGATTCCCATTTTGTTCTGTGCCACCTCATCTCCTTGCTCTGCTGCCTTCCGGAGCCAAATAACGGCCTTGACAAGTGCATACATCGTTTCTGGCTTTTGCTTCGCTGCATGACGGCAAACCCGCTCAACAGTTCAACACGTGCAACTTATCCCAACATTAAAAAAAAGGGGGAAAAACAAAAAGAGAACGAACGTAATCCACATCCACCCCCTCCCGTTATACACTTCCCACCCCTTCTTCACACAAGGTGACACACCACCCGCACCTCCATCCCCCCCCCCTCCCTCTCTCTCTCTCTCTCTGTGTTTTTACAATCCAAGATTCGAGGCAATCAACAGGACACACAATGCTCGCTACCATTGCACATACTAAAAAGGGAATTGCAACCGTTCACTCTCAAGTTCTCAACAACATCACATCAACCGTTGGAATCGCAACCGTTGGATTGCCATGACCGTCATATGCTTATCCCTCAGTGCACAGATTGGGCAGTTTCTAAACACTGCAAGCCATTCAAAACTCGTCACAATGCCACTGTGACATCATTATCATTCGAACGCTCATGTTTCGCTCAAGTTCTCAGTCCAACTCGCTGTCTGTCTGAGATTTCTGCTACTTTGTGTGCGCCCATCCGTCGTGATTAGAGATCACACAGCTGAACTCGGACAAATTACGCAAAGAAAAAGTATCACAGATCTGAGCTTCTGAACTATGATGCTTGCCAGACTGGCTTTCCAGAGGAGATTCCAAAAGATTTCGTCTGGACAAGAAACACCAACACAACTTCTTTGAATCTTTGCACCATTCTGGAAGCCACGACACAACGGCAAGAACCTTTTGCATCCGCTCTGGAGCACACCAACAACACCCGTTGAATAGTGGGATACCCTTTTGGCTCAGTTTCTGATTAGTGTCTCTCTCGAGATGGACCTTTCTGTTTACCCAGTGGGCCCATATCGAGAGAGAGACACACTGATTAGAAACGGAACCAAAACTTGCTTGAAAAGAGAAAAAAAGAAACTGAACCAGAACTTTTAACCGATTCATGAACACCCAAAACGAAAAAACGGTGAAAGGCACATAACAAAACCAGATACCACACTTCTTTTCCTTGCACATCACAGCCTGTGAAACGACACCAAAACTGTCACAAAGTGAATAGAGACCCTCAAAGAATAAAAAAAGCATCATCTGCATTCTCAAACACGAAAATTTCCCCACTGGCAGACACCATGCCCAGGGACCCCCACACTGCTACCTACAGCTGTAGTCGTTCGCTGAACCGCCAAACTGGATACTATTCTCTCTCTCTCTCTCACACACACACACACACACACACACAATCTTGCACACACGAACACACCAACTGTGCTAGTTCTCTCTCTGACACACACCCGCGTTCCTTCCTCAGCCACTGTTCCTGGTGTCATGCACAATCATGGGCATGTCTCATTTGCTTAGAAATCTATTTAGGGACCGACATTCAGTCAACAGGGATTCTGGAGGTAGGGACTTTTGTCTTATCATTGCCAGTGTTCTCACCTACAAGCGAAGCAAAAGAGACCTTTTTACTTCCAGAGCCAGTAGTATCAGAGGAGGCGGTCATTCCCCCATCTGGAGCTTCCTGTGTGTCTTCCTCTTCCGCCGCTCTCCCATCCTCCTGTGAAGGGACTGCATCCTTTGCATTCGGCGAATCCATTTGCTGCCATTCTTCTTCCACCGCCATCAGCTCCGGCTTCCCATTCGCTACAGCAATCGGCGATGAGCCCAGCGCGTTGGGAGTGAACACTTTTCCCTGATCAATTGCCATCTTCTTCCACGCGTAGTTATCAAACGAAGCTCGCTGACTCGGCTCTATGCCGGTGTCTGCATTTCCTCCGTAACTCTGAAGCCAACCAAAGAGAGCAATCAAAGAAAGCACACAAGTCAGAGAGAAAATCAGCCAACGTACGACAACGATGACGCGTCCACGACTATAGCACAAATGTCAAGACACATTCTATCTCCTAGTACAAGCTCTCTCAAATGCCTAGCCTGCACACCTCCCATGCATCACATCATCAGCCACCCCTGGATCAGTTCCTTTTTTTTTTCCCCGCAAATCCACCATGATCCACGGATCAGGGGCAAGGTCTCACTAACAACCGAGGATCAGATTCAGCGCCTGAATCTGTACCCATTTTATAGCAGAGATGCACATATCACGCATCTAGATCCAAGGTTTGACGCACTCGAGTTGAGAATCTTGAGATCCCACTCACGCAGAATCTCGTCCTGTCCCCCCCCCATCCCCGTTTGATGACACCCGGAGCGGAGTCCCACTTAACTCCGTAGATTACTCGATCTGACCGTAGATTACTCACTGCTGACCGTAGATTACTCACTGCTACGCTCCTGCACATCCATCTTCGTAATGTACGGTTAGCTGTGAATAATCAAACGCGTTAATCAAACGGGGGACTTAATATCTACGGTCAGCAGTGAGACCCGCGTAGCTTGCACAGGACGCACGATAATAAAACTGTATTCGGGCAACTTTTCAGGCCAGAAACAGCGACAATGACCTTGTGGGTCCCATTCGTGGGAAGACGGAAGACGGTAGTAAGGTAAGCGCAGTCCAGGTCCACCACAGACACAGCAGAACCTCCCACACAAAGACACCGCTCCCTTAGTCACATCGCATCCATTCTAGAACACGTCGCCGAGAAATATCCTGAAATCTGCTGCCCCTCCCTGTAGACATACTAGTAAATAAATAAAATAATATCTTTAAGAAACAGAAGATAAGACTTCGAAGTTGTTGTACTGCAAACCAAGTATGTCATTCCGTGCAAACTAAGTGTGTCATCGAGTCCAGATCCACAATTTGACGAGGCGACTCAGTTGAGGTACTAAGCAGAACATTCACAAAGGTACGTCTTAACGGGAATTGCCATTCATGTCACAGTTGTCACTCAATCTCAATATCCTTTACTAATGTATCCACGAAGCAGAAACCCTTCGAAAACCTCGAAAGCGACGAAGCGTCTTATCGACACAAGTATTTTGTATTCTACGCACGACCGTGTAACAAAACATACTTTTAAGCACCACGTCGGCAAAACCACGGTGCGCGTCGTATTTAGCCAAGAAACTACTACACTCGTTCCGCAAGTTCACCTCGATCAGTACTTCACTTCTTCCACACCCAACAACCGTGCTCACGCCCAACAAAACCGTGCCCAGGTGGCCCGGTTCGTAATAACACATAAATTTACCTAAATCATGACTAACTTCCTTCCACAACCCAACTGTGCTCCCACCCCACAAAACACTTTAATAACTACATCGCCAAAAACAGGGTCCGCATAAATCACCATATTTACTTAAATCACTACCAAGTCCTTTCCACACGTGTTGTGCGTGAAAAGCTGTGACGACGACAAGGAAGCGACAAGGAGAGAGACGGAAGGCGGTTTGTTATCTCGATGATGTGCCATGGAAACTGACGCAATCACTCACTCCAACGGTTCCTCCCGCTCGTCATAATTCTCACGAACCGATTAATACAGATGTCCTTCCACGAGAAGGAATTTCTTGCGTACTACACTCATTTGTAGTTATCGTGCATTAAATTTCATAAGCGCTTTTCACTCGCTTTCAGACCAAGGCGCCTATTGGACTTACCGCTAAACTATCTTTGCTCTCCATCGATTTTTTTTCAAACGCATCATCACTGAAATCACCTACACATGACGATATATATACAAAATATATACGTTTCCGTTTAAATCATTTCTGACAAATTCCTCATTCTTCTATATGTAAATATAGGGGTAACTTCGGCGCAGTCACGAAAACAGTTTGTAATTGCCTCAAGTGCCATTACAAACTCAAACCCTGACTGCGCCGTAGTTTTCTCATAAATATATATATATCGTATATATATACGCATGCAATTATATTATTAGAAAGAAAAATAACAAACTGCTGCTGCTTCATTCTCAATCGGTCCTCTGACAAGGGAGGCCTTTCTTCTTCAATATCCTTGACAATGTAAAACAATACCACATCTTTACCATATCTTTCCATGAAGGACCACGGAAAATTCGATGAGATCGAAACACCACTCATCTTTTTACAAAGAAACACGGAAAATTCGACAAGACCAACCGAGACATCACTTATCTTTCGACGAAGAAACACCGAAAGTTCGATGAGATTGACAGTAACAAGCCCTCCTTCCCGATAAACTACAACAGATCTACCAGCAAGGCTAACATTATATAATTATATACTCCATGTCCAAATATCCTCTGGGAACAAAGATCGAGGGTAGGGTCAACGGGTCGGCTAAAAATAGATATGTAGATGCTAGTAAGGTGAACGAGAAGCACATAATCTCACACATCAACTACAAATATTTGTAATTTCAACGTAGATTTAAAAACTGAAATAGTCATTTGTAATTTATAAGTAGATTTAAAGACTTCCACAGAAAAAAAAACAGGTCTTCTCGCAGGTTCAAAAAAGCAAAGCAAATTAATCATACAAACTGGAAAGCGCTACCTACTCCACACAGTTTTCACACACCCTTGTCACACAATTTTCACACATCCTTGTCACACAATTTTCACACATCCTTATCACACAGTTTTCACACACCCTGCCACAGTTCAATAAACCCTTTTTCTCCTATTATTCCTCCCCTCTCGGTTCACAATAATTATGAGCGGTTCATAATAATTATGATCCGTCCATGAGGTGAGACACGACATGATATTACGTAATTCCGATTAATATATGCCAGTATTATTATGCAAACATATCTACGATATTACGTAATTCCGATTAATATATGCCAGTATTATTATGCAAATATATCTACGATATTACGTAATTCCGATTAACATATGCCAGTATTATGCAAATGTATCTCTCTCAGGAATACTAATCACCGGTCACCTTACATAATAGTATTCAGAAAACCCATTCATAACCTTTCCAAGAAAGATTCTTTAATTCTTGTTTAAAAGAGGGGGGGGGGAAGAGTTTCTTCGCATTTGATAATGATTGGTAATCCAGTCAGATCAAAAAAATCAAATCAACGACTAAATAAATAACGATGTACATTTTTCAAATCAAAACGGTATAATAGCTCAAGTACAGAAACTGATCCACGACACCTGCCAATGACTATAATATAATAATTAATTAGTTATACTACAATTCAACCGACATCCAAATGAGTTTAACGCTCTAAGGAGAGCACAAAGGGATAACGCATAAAATGCCACAGAGAAATGAGAATGAACCCAACACACACATTTAAAAACGCAGCTCACGGCCACAAATCCCCTCCCAATGAAATTCCTAGCAAACTCAGCTTCCTCGGAGTGTACAAAACAATTGTTCTATTTTTTTTTATTTTTTTTTATTTTTTTGGTGTACAAAACAATTATTCCAAGTTTCCAACAACATTGAAGACAATCAACTTCATAGACGACATTGCGCGCAGAATGGGCAAATAATAAGATCATAAAACAAAGGGATAACGAAAAAAAAAGTTCATTCGTTTTAACCCATCGCACGAATCTCAATTCACTCGTCTAGATAGAGCCAAACGACATCCAAATAAAAGGATCATGAAAGAAAGGGATAAGGAAAAAAAAAAGAAAAAAGTCGATTCGTGCAAACAAACTCGTCGTGAACAAACTAGTCTTCCCTCGACCACTACGCACCCCGATAATGAATGTAAACTAGCTATCTTTCCGGTTCGGTACAGTCATGGAATCAGGCTGCGTTATTGTGTTCGGGGAAGGACGGTACTAATCCCTCGTTCACATTCACTATTTTTTTCTGAATGTTACTAAACCACAAAGTTAAAAGGTGGTTGGAGGCCAACGGCGCTACGTCGCAAACGGAACGGATTCCATTCCGTTTCCCATACCGAAAATTTTGTCAAGACGCACTGCGAATAACAACAAGAGCTCGCACGACTACGAAGAAATGAGCAGGGAAAATGCAAACCGGACAGCAACCGACTTCACAAACATTTGGAGGCAGAGACTCGGAAGAGGGAGACAGGAGGAAAGGAGAAAGGAGAGGCGGGGGAGGCGGGGGAGGCGCGGGGCGGG